TGTTCTAGGCACGGTGCAGCTGCATAGTAAGAGACTAAGGCATTGATGCTGTTAAGAGACAAGACAGAGGAAGGGTTATTATCCCCCTGGTGCAGACAGGGGATTAAGGCTCACACACAGACCAAGGGTCATTAAAGGACCATGTGGCTGATCAGGGAGCTGGGTTAAAGGTTTGGTGTTATAACAGCACCGACACAGACAAGAGCGGTGCTTGGTTTTTTGCCGGCACTTTCATCGGTAGATCTCAAATCACTTTACAAAGCAGGTCCCTGTTGTTATCCCCGCTGTCATTAGCTCAGGGAGAAGGAGTGGCTTTGGCTACGACTAAAGCTGCCTTTTAATGGGGGGGCCTCATCAGGAGCAGAGCCTTATCATGGGGAGCACCTGCCTCAGCTTTGCAGCTCTTCCAGGCCTCTCCCTTTCCAATTCCCTTGCATTATTCGGTCACAGACGGCGCGGCAGATCACACAGCGCTGCCTTGATGCGAACCGATGAGCTGTGTGCATGAGGCGGATGTGAGTTTGCCGACTGCGTTCTCCGTCAGCTCAGCCTTGGGGGGAACGCAGCCCCAGCGCCGCCAAGTCGCGCCAAGGCGGCCGTTGCTTGAGGCATGCTCGCGTCCCCACAGCAGCTGTATTTGCACCTGGGTGGGGGCTGGGGAACTTGCACAACGGGATGAGGGGGTGTTGACAAGGTCAGCGGGGAGAAACGCCAGGCTGGTTTGCGGGGCACCTATGCACGGGCGTGGGGAGCGAGTTAGCACACGTGCTGCAGAGCCTCGTGCTGACCCAGATTCAGCCACTCCCAATTCACCATGGGTGGTGCAGTGTCAGCAGCAGCTCACGCATGGAGCGGTAGGCCCCAGCTTGGGGACCCTGGGGTAATTTAGTCAGGGGTGAGGCTGCCTTGAGCAGGGGGCTGGACTAAATGACTTCCTGAGGTCCCTTCCAGCCCTACTCTCCCATGAACCTGTGACCCCCAAGGGCAGCCCCCCACTACGAGAAAGCTGGGCTGTGTGCACAAGCAAGCCTGGCACAGGCCATGTACTAGAGGGGCCCTCCGGGTGGGAGGAGATGCGCCCAGGAGCAATGACTGTAGGAGTCCTTGCGCTAGGACTCTTACGATGCACTGGGGACATTGCATGGCTGGAAATGTCAGGGTCATGCCACGGCTGTCCCTGATCCCGTGAGATGCTAAGCAGCCTAAGCTCTTTCAAACGTCAAAGAGGAGATAGGCCGGCCAGGCTCCTGGGCCGTTCTCACTGAAGCCTACGCAGTCCTGGACTCATAGCAAGCTTTGAGCTACCCGCTGTGTGCCTGGGAAGGAGGCTGTCACGGGTCTCCCCAGTATCTGTGAGAAGTGCAGGGATGGCCTCCTGCTTTCCAGCCAGGCTGAAGGGAGCGGAGAGTCTGGGAAGAGAAGTGGAGCAAACTAAAGCAAACAGAAAGGAGACGGGAGCAGGCACCGATTAGGGCCCAGCTGGGCTCTGCCTTGTGCTGGATGATGAAAGGGTGAGGGAACGGAGCCGAACAACACAGCCAAGGGTGCAGTATGATACACTGGTAGTGGTGGTGCAGGTGGGGGAGACCCTGGGGTAGGGAAAGGGCTCCCACACATACCTCAAGGTCCCTGGTGCAGGAATAGCACTCGGATGTCCTGGCTAGCAGCCTCCTTTCTTAAAATGAGAAGATATCCCTTGACTCCCTGTGTACAGTACACTCACTCTCAGAGCCAGGGAAAAAACAGTGCCCTGATGCCAAGAGGCGCTTTGACCTCCCCACCAGGCACCAGTGCCAACCAGGACAGGTCGCCCTTCAGAAGCAGGATAGGGCCGGAGACCAGCGGCTGTACCTGGCCACCAGTGATACCAGTTATCCCTGCAGTGGCCACGGGGGTCTGGATTTCTGGTGGGAGCTTTCCTTGGGGGCTGCAGTTCCTTCCCCTTGTTGGTGGTCCCTACTCTGCCAGCTCTTTAATCAAATCATCAATTTAAGGAAGCGGCGCAAAATCTGTGAGTGAAATCCGTTCTGCTGCAGCTCACTGCCCGAAGTCCAGCAGCTACTACGGTTATTGGCACCTCTGGGACCTTGCTCAGGCATGCTAGAGACATGGGTATCCCCGCTCCCTGGAAGGAGGAGGGAGTTCCTGCAGGGTGACCCCTGAGGACTGGATCAGAGGGGCAAAGCCATGGCTGGAGAGGAGATTTGGGCTGGAAAGAGAAAAGCTCCTTAGGGATTAGGGGACTGGGCCAGGGGGCTGTATGGAGCTCAGTGCTATGGTGCCCCCAGCCCAAGCCCCATCCACTCCCTACAATGCCACTTCTACCTTCCTTGCAGCTGGATGGGATGCAGGAGCCAATGACTTCAACCGGCGGGTGCCTGTGGTTATGCTGCACAAACCTCTATGGGGATGGTTTCCCTACTTCTCCAAGCTCTGGGTCAGACCGGCTCCAGGACCAGCAGGGCTCGGTCTGGGTCCAGGCTCCCAACCATTCCCACCCCACACATCCCACCTGCCCCACCTCTGACCCCATGGTGTGGGCTCTCCCAGGCTCTGAACAGATTAGGAGACCAGAGGATGGGGCTTGCATTTCCAAGCAGGGCAATCTGCAATGCCCGCAGGGAGGCATGGAGCAGCTGGTGCTGCGCTCCTCGTAGACTGAGCAAACCCAAAGCCACCCACCGCACTGAGGCCTCCAGCACCAGTGCCCCTGGCCTCCTCCACCTCCTGGCAACCTCCTGTCCTTTGCCGGCCCTGCAGCCTGCCTGATAGCTCTGTGTGCTGCCAGCCCAGGCTCCCAGACAGAATAATAAAACCCATTAAAGCTGCCCGCTCCTGAGAAAGGTTATTAATCACAGATAAGGTGTCCACTGCTGACTGAGTGCTTCAGAAGTGCCCTGATGGGAGATAAGGCTGAGGCAGACAGCAGGCGGGGGCTGTGGTGGGGAAAGCACAGTGAGAAACCAGCCACGCTGCCCAGCATTGGCTCGCGGGATGCCTTGGGGAAGCAGAGCGCAGTGGGGAAAGGGCAATTTCTTGCCCGCTGTGCATAGCTTAGGCCGCTTGCAAGGCATTGCCCCCCTTGGCCTTCAGCTGCCTGCAGAATCTGGCAGGTCTGAGCAGGCTGGAAGAGACCCCACAGTGTCCTCCCTTTCACTAGGGGACGGGGGGACATGGGAGCACGAAGGGAAACAGGTCCCTGGTTGGGAAGGCCGGAGTTTTTGGCTGGAGGTAAGCTTTCCCTGTGGGTGTCTGGGGAAGGTGGGGGCCAGTTCTGGGTTTTTATAGCTCCCCCAGGCCACGAGAGGACAGAAGGGGTTTCCTCAGAGCTGTGCCCAGGGGGACAATGTTGTCGATCCCCCAGGTGCCCGGTCTTTGGGACGCTGACCAGTGGGGTCCTTGTCAGTGTGAAGGCAAGCTGGGGGTGACCTTCCTGCCCATGAAACAGGGTCTCCCTGCTCCGGGAATCAGCTTGGGCCCCACCGTGTTTCCACTGCCGTGGGCACCGTAGAGCTGGGATAGCCTGAGCCTGCACCGGGCACCAACACAGAGACCAATGAAGGCAGTAATGTGCCCTTCCCTGTCCTGGGGCTGTGGAGGACGGTGTAACCCATGCTGCTGGTTAGAGCTGCCTTGGGGTTGCCCTGGGTTGCATGCACTTTCACCCCAGGCTCTGGTTGCAGCCAGGATAGGCTGGGCATGGTGGGTCCTGGCTATGCCCTTCCACTGGCAACCAGCCAGGTGGGTCTTTCCCAC